GGACCTGCCTGCCTGGAAGATGTTGCACCAGCAGTGCCACAGTGGTGACAACAGTGGGACAAGTGGCAACAAGATTTTTCACAGTTACAGCCTCCCAAGCGAACACTCACAGGACACACACGTGCAGCACCCTGCAGAGCTTGTTTCCATTCCCTCTCCAGTGTTAGTTATCCTGGTGGAGATGGGACTTTAGGCAACGTCAGCTCTCCTGGGATAAGGAGAGCATCGCAGCCTGTGCATGGCTGTGTCCCCAAATGCATAGGCTCCTTCTAGTCCCTCCTAGGAGTGACACATGGCATTGATAAGGGAATGACATAAGCACCTCAAAGGCCAGATATTCATCATGAAATCACGGGTCCTGCCAGTTTTGCTCAACCAGGCAGAAAAAGGCCTCCAACCCCTCTACATATAGGACACCAGCTCTCATGCACAGCAGATGTGGCTGAAAGAGTTGGTCTCGCTGCTGGGCTGGGGGAAGACAGAAATACGCTTGGATGCTGCCTGGAGCAGCTGGGGAGGTGCTGTGATAGCCCTTCAGCTGAACTCTGGCCCTTCCTCCGCCGCGAGGTATCCAGCATCGCCAGATAGTTTCCATTTTTCTGGCCTGCATATTCCACTGCTTGCTGGCTAAGGGAGGACAAGAGGCTCAGTGATGGGTTTTCTGCAATGCGGAAGGCAACAACAGGTATTTTAAAACATGTACAAAATCACAGCCCCAGGCACCAGTGCATGACCTTCACCCAGACCCAACTGCTCCTGCAACGGGGATGACACAAACAACTTTTCTCACCTTCTTGCTTCTAAGGAAATCGAGCATGGAGGAGTGTCTCGAGAGCCCCAGGAGGCCGGGGTGCGGGCAGCTGATCCGCTGGGACAGGCAGCTGGACGGGCACTTTCCAACGTCCACGCTGACAGGACCGCCAGAGACATCTGTGAAACACAAGATTGACAAAAGGATTACTCCTCACTATTTGCATGATGCTGGGGAAGCCCAACCTCAAACCACGGCCAAGTACGACACAAACACTGAACAAAAAGACATGGTCCACCCCTGGGGAGGAGATTCCTTCAGCCTGAGCTCCTGCAGAAATCCCAGAGAGAAAGCCCTTCACTAGCGCTGCGCATGCGTCTACTGTGTTTGCAGACCAGAAGTAAAACATTTCATAATAGACTGGTAAGTGCACTACAGAATAAAAAGAATGCAATTAAAAATTCACTGAACAGTAGGTTTTATATTCTTTAGTGAGCTCATGAAAGATGGGGTGAGAATAGATGAATACATTGAGCAGCAAAGGGAAAATGTGAACGCTCAGCTGTCGCTGAACTGCAGGCCTTGAACGTACTGAACAAGCCTGAGCACCCAGCGGATCCAGGGCAGAAAGAGAAACCCAGCTCTCCTTGCCTAGAGCCCGATGAACCTGTTCATGGAGCTGCTTGAGCTGAAAACAAATCTGCTTCCTCCCCGCCCCCCAAATCCCAGTTTCACAGCCCCCCAAACCTGTTGCATTGCCACATTAGCACTACAGGCAGAGGATGGGAAGGTGGGAATGGGTGTGGGAACAGGGGAGACACGGGACCACGGCATCCAGGTTTAGACTGGCTTTCTCTGCTGTATTTTGAGTTTGCAAAGTATCAGCGGTTATTGGCTAATGGCTGTTTCTTCTGGAAATCCTTCTAAAATGAGCTATTTTTCCCCAATAGTGCTGTCCATACTGAAAGGGTTGATTGATGCAAATCCTCATTTCATCATGTAATAGGGAAGAAAACTGGCCTTAAAAGCACTCACTGAGTAGTTCAACACCACTATAAATCATTTACTTTAACCTGCTGGAGTTGTAGACCCAGTGTGTGCCGCTAAACTTTAATTCTGCATTGATTTAAAAACTGATCTTCAGTGTCAGTGCGAGAGACAGCCACCATCACCACGCTGCACGACACCAGGAAACACGTAGGGACATTTTAAACTCACATTTGGGTTATAGCTGCTGTTAGCTGCCTGAGGATTTCTTTGCAAGTGAGCAATGCAAGTGAGCCAGGTAGCAATTTGCAGCGTATTAGCATCCCTGTGGATGCTCCTCGCTCACAGAAGGGCGCAGACAGCTGGTCACTTTGCAAAGGACACTTTGCCAGCTGAAGACACCGTTAACCCCTGCTCTCCCATCCCACAGCCATACAGGCCATGTTTATTAGTTTTATCACTATCTATTACTATTTTCACTATTTTCACCATTATTTACTCTTCTAAAGTTGTTTCCTCTGGAGATGACAAGCTGTCACTGCTTGTGACAGTTCTTAATTTGGATATGATCATTTTATAATGCCTACTGTCCACATAAGAACCTGATATTTTGCGAACACTAAAGGCTGAATTTGTACAAGTACTGCTCTCATGCACTGAAAAAAACCCCTAAGAAACTTCAGATTTTCAGCCATGCAGTTAAAGCTGTTTTCACATATCTGTGCTAAGATCAGCTGAAGCTCATTTTATGTAGCCTTACTGCCACTGCAAGGGGAACTGAGACTAATGGCTACTCCTAAAGGCCACAGACTTTTTTCTGGTGAACAGATGGAGCTATTTCCTACTTTCTCTGCACAGTAAAGTCAGAACACCCTGTTGTCTTGCTGACAGCCCTTCCAATGTTAATCCCAGGAACCAAAATTCCACGGTAGTCCCAAACTTAGGCAGTACTAAACAGAGGCAAACACAAACACAGAATTCAACCACATTGCAGCACACTGGTACAGAAAATGAAGCCTCTTTCATGCAGATGAACAGACCTAGGGTCCAGGCTACTCATCAGTTCCTGTTCTACAAAACATGCTTTAAGCATTGGATTATCTGGGCGATGAGTCCCCAGCGTATTTCTGTCCTTAATCCCCTAAGGGAAAAGTCACTAGGTTAACTTCAACATACAGAAACATCCGAGGGATGATGGGCGGGATGTGAGTGGGGAAGCTTAAAAGATCCAGGTTTCTTGCAGACGAGGGGGGGAACTCACCATGCCCGACGTGGAGGAAATGGCTCTGCCTCCTGCAGCAGCCCCTCTCTGCGAACAGGTTCCCTTGCTCGTCCTCTCTGCTGATGGTTCCGGCACCTGCAGTCACAAACCACCACGCCCAGCATTACCCCAGTTATAATTCATCACCTTTCCTGCTTGAGCTGGGAGGAGGCACTGAGCACCGAGCACAAGTCCCCAGCCAGCTGCCGTCTTGAACCAAATGGCTTCAGCATAAGGAAGAGATTTAGTGTAGTTATACATGGACGTGACCCATTTGACCTCTCAGACCTGGCTACTTGGGCTAAACACCCCGAGAAAAGGCTGTGTTTAGCAGTGTTTTAGCGTAGGACATCAATCCCCTGCTGTCTTCTACTTCCACGTTACTGCAGTGCGAGCTTGGGTAAAAGGAGTAATCTCACACAGCACAAAGCAGCTCACAGGCACCAAACTCCCCAAAGATTTCTGCACAGCAGCTTCCTCCGAGACAAACCCTGAATTACTTGCTGAGGGCAGACAATCCTCCTTGCTGTTCACAGTGAAGCACTGTAGAAAACATACACCGTGCCCATACAGAAGCATCAGACGAATGAAGCCCGCGCACAGCCTCACACCCGCACGAGCCCTTTTCTCTCCTACGCATGAGGCCAAAGCAGCACCAAAGACAATGAGAAGGAAAAAGGAACTTACTGGCAAAGATGGGAGCATGCAAGAGCCCTGCAAAGAAGACTACAGCTAGTGGGTCCTGCATACTGCACCTTGGGAAACACAAAAAGGTCTCCAGTATCTCCGATACTTATACTGAGCCCTCCCTCAGCAGGCGAGAAGGTGAACAGCTCAGAGACAAATGGGTTTGCATATCGCCAGCAAATGTCTCCGGACTGTGATCTGATCAAACACCTAAGCAGCCCGGGCAGTGACGGCATCTCTCCCACAACTTGTCTACGGGATCAGGCTTTGAGCAAACTTCAAAGTGTTTCTTGAGAGCAACTGATTTTGCTCTCAGCCTGGGGAAGCTCCCTTGGGGGTCTTTGTTCTTACCACCACTTTCAAACTAATTAAGTTTGTGGTGACTTGGGAGTCACTTTCAAGTCCCCTCATTTGAAAGTAACGTGCATCCTTCATCCTCACTCATCGCATTCAATGGCCTTTTTATCTAGGGACAACCCTCTTTTGTCCCTCCGCAACACCAAAACTGAGACAAAGCTGGCTCTTCAATAAAGATGGCAACACGCTAGGACTCAGCCACATCAGCAATGACAGCATGTTCCCCACAACTACACGGAGAGGCCTGCAGCTCTGTTTTTACCTCTTTTCAGCATGACTGAGCCCTGGAGCCAAGAGGAGGCATCTTTCTTTCTTTCTAGCTTGTTAAATACATGTAGGAAAGTACTAGTCTCCCAAGTCCTGGAAACAGTAGGGGCACAGATAGCACTTGCGTGCTGTAAGGGACTTCCACAGACACGCTGGCTGAGGGCAGCGGTATGTCCTGAACACTCGCTGCATGTGGCTCTTAATTACAGAAGTTAGGATCTCTGCACCGATTTGGCCAAGTGCACGTGGCAGGGACTAGATCAAATTCCCAGAGAATTTTTTTTTTGCCAGATTCAGGAATGAGAGCACACAAGAGGACAGTGATGGCAACGTAATGCATCTGACACCATTCTGGCATTCAAAATAGGGGTTTGGGTGGGGGTTTTTGGCTACAATTACTTACAGGTGCAGCAATCACAGAAATTTATGGAAGCTGTACACCCCTAGGAACAAGCCAAGTCTCCCTGGAGCTCACACATAGTTCCTGGAGGACAGCTGGGCTTCACTGGGATAGATGCCTTTAGGAAATAATTAGCAAAAGCAAAATGCTATTAGAAGACATCCTTTCCAAACTATGCCATTTACCACAGTGCTACAGGAACACCATCCCCTTTGTCCCAGCAGCACGGAGGAGAAATCAGGACAGTTGTTCAACAACAACAAAAAAATTTAATTGTGTTTGGCCAAGAAACAAACATATACAAAGAAAAATACATCTCCATTAAAAAAAAAAAATCCACCATGCCTGGGCATCTGAGCCGAGCCACCCTCTATTCACAGCTTTGGGGTGCTGCAGAGTACCTGGAGAGGCAGGGACCGCTACTCTGAGCAACTGCCGTGTGACCTGGCCAAAGCTGGAGAGCAGTCTGCACCATGGTGGCAGGGCACAGTCAAGTGACATACAAAATATTTATGAAAAAATATGCATTTTAAATAAAGAACTTAAAACAACTTAAACTTCATATAAAATATTATGGTTGCCATTTCAGTGTCTCAATTCTAGGAACTATTTTTGAACTCTCAACGTCCTCTTTTCCACCCCACGTCCAACTCTGCAGTCTCTTTCTCCACATAGCTCCGTCTCTATCCAACTTAGTCCAAAGTACCTAAAAATGAAAAAAAAAAAAATTGTAGTCTCAGGAATCAGAAATGCAGTTATGTGAACAAATGAAAGTTGTTTACAAGCTGCCAAAGGAATATGCAGTAACTTTTTAAAGTTTAAGCAAATCACACATGACTAAAACCAAATCTAGCTAAAAAGTATTGTACGTGTCTTAGGGTCATCTTGATTTGTGTTTCACCTCTCAGAGAGGGACATAACAAGTTACACTATTAATTATTAAAGATGTGGAAACAGAGGGCTCTGCAAATGATTAAGTTCTTTCTTTCCCAAGAAGATTACAGAAAATATTGAAACCAAGCGAAACCAAGTAGAAACTCACCTTCCAAAAAAGCGAATTCATCAATAGCTTCAATAGCATTATCTGCAAAGCAAATTGAAAACAATTAACATAGATAAACTGACTCCATATTTGCATCTGCTTCAAATAGCAGCATCTGAAATTACACCACAGTACAGTGACCAATTTCAAAGAGGTTTACTTGTTTTGGAGCTGGTGTGTGAAATTATTAGCGTAGTATTTGGTACAAGAGAAGTTTTTCTCTCCCATCTTCAGAGAAAGAAAGAGAAGCACCTATGATTGCTTCATCACACCGGGACAGGTAGAAAAATCCTCCATCCTAGCAACCCTTTGCTGAGGATAGCACAGAACATGCTCTCATACCCAGGTCTTTTCTCTGCAGAGTTTTCCTTTTTCCTTGCTGAGCGTACACGTAAGCATCTTTGGCTATGGTTTCAACAAACAACTCCTGCAAAGCAAAAACAAGAGAGTTTCACACAGGGGATGAGAGAGGGAAGAGAAGAATATCCTGAGGAAAGGAAAGGTCCTAAAACACTTCAGGGAGAAACCAGAATTTCCATCTTAACATTTCCCCTTTCCAATAAATGGCTCTGAAAATAACAAATTAGATTGTTGGACAGTGATGCAGATGAGAAGAAACAAGGGAGGAGAAAAGGCCGAGAGTGTATTGAACAGAGATGGTTCCTCTGAACACGTCTGGGAGACCAGCTACACACCAGCTGCTCCCAGGGCACCTTCTGAAGGAGGAAAGGCGTCCTGCGCTCAGTGCATGAAGTGGATTGAGCACGACCCTCCTTGCGTGCCACCCAGCGGATACCCCAGCTGCGGGAAGCAGATGCCCAGCAGCAGGCCTAGGAGTTACTGCAGGGAGACGCCGAAAGGGAGAGACCAGAGTCTACACACAGATGCTTTCACATGATGCCAAAGCCATCCCACCAAACACACCTTGCCTGTGCAACGGGAGACACTTTCCAAAGGAGGAAAAAAACCCCTCTGTTACACATTGCTCCGATTTGCACATCGCAAACCCTCAACGTGCGATCAGGGTGAGCTGGAAATCCACCCGAGCGGGCGCAAAGCCGTCTGGCGGACGCAAAGCCCTGGCACTTCCCTGAGAGCAGGTTTCCACAGCCACGTTCACATCGTGGAGACAGCAGCGACCTCAGGGCGTTTCTTCCCGCCACCGGGGCAGGCTTCGGCGGGATCCCTGACGAAGGGAGACATGTTGCCACTGCGGGCAGCGCAGCCGGCTTTTCCCGCAGCCTCCCCAGCCTTCTGCCGGCAGTGCCGAGCGGTAGCAAACCCGGCACCTCCCCCGCCGCCAGGATGTCCACCTCCACGGGCAGCAGGGCGAGGGCAGGGGCTACTGTCCCGCTTCCCAGCGGGAGAGCTTGGGACGGGTGCCCAGCTACCCTCGCTGCCCGCGGCGGCTCTGCCTGCTGACCGGACAAGGCATCAGTTGGAAGAGCTGGGAGAGGAAACGCCTCAAACCCTCCGAAAAAAGAAAAAAAATACTTAAAGCCAGGCAAGCGGCTCCACGTCCCACAGACGCCGAGCGCCGGGGGCTGCGGCCCCCAGGACCTCCAGCGCCGGCCTGGCGCGGCCCAG